TATTGAAATTAATTAGAATAAACTTAAAAAGCTTAGAAGATTTAGGCAGCCGAAAGAAGTCTAATCGAAAATAATTGATTCTTGCAATAATATTAGTTTTCATTTTATTGCTCAGTCATCTAACATACTTTGCTTTGAACGCAGATGTACGGCGGTATGCGCGGCATCAAGGGCCTCGTGTGGGAACCATCGGTCCTGGATCCGGAGGAGGGCATCCGATTCCGCGGGAAGTCGATTCCCGAGTGCCAGAAACTCCTGCCGAAGGCGTCCGGCGGCGCGGAACCGCTCCCGGAGGGTCTCTTCTGGCTGCTGATTACCGGCGACGTGCCTACGGAAGCGCAGGTGAAGGCCATCTCGCAAGAATGGGCATCCAGGAGCTCGTTACCCGAGCACGTGGTCAAGGCCCTCAACAATTTCCCGAAAACTCTACATCCGATGACACAGTTCTCCGCGGCGATCACGTTGCTAAACAGCGAGAGCGAATTTGTTAAGGCGTATAACAAGGGTGTGCACAAAACCAAATACTGGGAAAGCGTGTACGAGGACTCGATGAATCTGATCGCCAAGCTACCAGTGGTGGCTGCCACTATTTATCGCAACATCTACAAGGGCGGCAAGGGTCTGGGCTCTGTCGACGCTGGTCGGGACTGGTCCTGGAATTTCACCAACATGCTCGGTTATGACAATCCGCAATTTATCGAACTGATGCGTCTCTACCTGACGATCCATTCGGATCACGAAGGTGGTAACGTGTCCGCTCACACCACTCACTTAGTGGGATCCGCCTTATCAGATCCGTACCTATCCTTCTCTGCCGGTATGAATGGTCTGGCCGGACCACTGCATGGTTTAGCTAATCAAGAAGTGCTGGTGTGGCTGGAAAAATTGCGCGGTCAGGTCGGCGACAATCCCAGCGACGACAAACTCAAGGAATTCATTTGGAATACGCTGAAGAGCGGCCAGGTCGTACCCGGCTACGGACACGCCGTTCTCAGGAAAACTGATCCGAGGTACGCCTGCCAGAGGGAGTTCGCGCTGAAACATTTGTCGGACGATCCGTTATTCAAGGTATATCACGCATCTTATTGTAATGTTTTAATTATAGTAGAAAGATTTTATTCTACTTTAGATAAAAAAGAATAACTGAATTTTCATTAATCCGCCTCTTTAAATATTTAAAAATATTGCCATAAAAATTGAGAAAATTAACTTCAGAATATTTATATATAATTCTTTTCTACGTTGCATTTTTATTTGCATACACTGAGAAAAAAGTTATTAACTTGACTAAATGCGTTTAATTCGTAGTGATTATTTAGTAAACGAGAATGGATTGAAATGAATTAAAAATTCCAATTCATTTTAATTTATTCGAATTCAAGCTTTAGAGTCCGGAGCCGGATTGAAATGAATTAAAATGAATTGATATCTGAAGGCATAAATTTGTTTCTGTTTATGAAATGGATAGGAAAAAAAAACAATGAAAATAAATCTTCCTGTAAATATTTTTTTGACGTTATAGTAACATTTATAATTCCTTCTTTGTAAATAGAACAGTATTTTTATATACATTTCGATTGAAACAGGAATATTCCTATTCAATACTGAACTCGGATATAAATTCAAGGCTTACATATTTTCGTCATAACTTTTTTATTTAAACAAAAGTGCGTATTTTATAATTTTGAACTGTGATGTATTCACAGCTTACAAATTATGTTGAAATTGTTTTAATTAAAGTGAATTCAAACGAGATTGTTCTTATTCATAATTTTGAACTGGGATATATTCATGGCTAACTTATTTACGACATAAGTATGTTTTTACTCAAATTGATTGAAATATGAAATGTGCTATTCATCATGTTGAATTTGGATGATTTATGCGATATTCGTATTATATTATTTTTTTAATTAAAATTAATTAAAATACGAAAGAGCTATTCATTATGTTGAATTCAGATGTATTCATGGATTCAAATAGATTCGAAAAATCAGAAGCGCGGATTCGGAAATGTCGAAATGAATTCATTTTTATCCATTTCAATTTATTCTCATTTAATGGTCGAGTATTCATATATTATATTTAAATTATACGTGAGTCATATATCATGTTAATTGTTTGAATTAACAAATATTTGTTTAAAATTAATAAATATTTGCTTGACAACTCGTATCTGCTACATTTATATATATATAGTTGAATAAACTAATATTTTTTTGAATCAGCAACTTTTCCTCTCATTGTACATTGCAGTTTGTACACTCTATTCGGAATTTAATTAGCATAATTCTGATTTAATTCCAAGTTAATTTGCATCAAATTTTGATATCAATGTTAATGTTGATGTTTTCTCTTTTACAGCTCGTCGCGCAAGTGTACAAGGTAGTGCCGCCAATCTTATTGGAGACTGGCAAGGTGAAGAACCCGTGGCCAAACGTGGACGCACATTCGGGTGTGCTACTGCAATACTATGGCATGAAGGAGATGAACTACTACACCGTCCTGTTCGGCGTGTCGCGCGCGTTGGGCGTGCTCGCTTCTCTTGTTTGGGATCGCGCCTTAGGACTGCCCATCGAGAGGCCTAAGTCCCTCAGCACTGATCTCCTTATGAAGGCTGTCAAGGCTTAAGGACCGTTTCTCACTGGATCGACGATCGATTACCAGCATCACCTCGGAGTCTCGTCGTCCTGACCTCGATTTTATTCGAGTGTCAACCGCGGCGCCGGGAACTTTGATAAGATCATTTTGATACCAATCTCGATGGAACCACCTCAACGAGCCCGCGCCTTATTGAGCAAATGATAGTGCGATTGGGAGAGAGCGAAAGAGTGAGAGAGTCGAGAATAAAAGAGACACAAGGCTAGGTATTAAACGCGACAAATAATTACGTCTAATGTATTATCTAAATGTAGAATTATTAAGACACATCAATGTTCCCTGTCAACGAATTCGCATTAATTATCTTCCCGCTGTCAATACTTTCAAGTATGAATGACGATAAACAGACATTAATCACACAGGCAGACATTATATCTGTATAATTAATTATACAGATATATGATGTAACATGATTTAAAAATATGGCTGGTTTAAGTTAAATTCTTAGAAAGTATCAATTGCGGGGACAGACTTAAATGGGTATTCTCGCAACATAGCTGCTTATATAAGTGGAAACGTAGATTGGTCCAACAGTGAAAACTGCCAAAATTGTGAAGAAACCCACGATAGTGCAAAAAATCCAGGGTTGGTAAAAAAAACATGTTTTAAATGGATTTTAAACAGTTTAAAACATGCTTAGTTGATGTTTTTAATGTTTTTTTTATAGTACTGTTTAAAGCATATTTAAGGCATTAGAATCTAAAAAAATCCAGAGGATAACTGTTAGATGTCTGTATTAAAATTTTTAGACGTTCTCTAAATGTTTCTCAGATGTCTAAAAGATGTCTCCTGGAATTTATTTATAGAAACACACACAAGATAGAGGAACGCATCAGAAATAGGTAATTATTGTAAATAAAATCATCGCTCAATACAAAGCAACATGCCGATTACCGCTAGAAATTTAGTGAATTTAAACTACGCAAAATCTGCGGCGATAGTTAACGTGTTAGCCTAACGACGTAAAATCGTAAATATAATAGAAAATAGCGACTCGAAATCTAGATTCATTGCGTAAGGCAACATAAATGTTCAAGAAACATTACCATCTAAAAGATAATTTAATTTAGATCAGACATCTCTTTCTCTCTCTCATTCAGAGAATTTTTTTATATCTGGCACTTTTGCGTTATTCGGAATGTGATTAGACATGAATTAGAAACCGTAACATTGTTGTCTTGCCTCGTCACACAAAAAATGCACCCGAATGTATATCATATTTCTTTTTCGAACGGGTGAATTACTTCAGAAATTTATTGGATTTTCCAGCAACAGAACAGTATCATAAAAAGTAGGTCTTGAAAGCAATAGTCGGCAATGGAACGTCAAAAGGCGAACGTGCCAATTAGCTCAGATGTAGATCTCCCGTTAGTTTACTGTCCCACTTCCCTCAGGAAATTCATTCTAATTGTAGACAGAATAAATACTGTATCTATAATTCTGATTGTTTTTGAAATGGCAAAAGAAATGCTGTTGCTATACGCGAGTTGCGGTAGTTGAATACTTAACAGCATACAATGACGCAGAGTAATTAAGCATACTTAAAAATAGCGTTTATGGTTTCGTCGAACGGCATACTCGGTCGTATCGTGACGAGAAACCGCTGTGAATACAGTGTAAAATTAAAAAGCATGACCAGTGGTGGATCCACTGTTATAAGAATGAATGAGTGTGTGCATATCTCTTATTTATAACGAATGTGAAAATAAATGAATCAAAAGGTAATCGTAACTGATAAATCTTTTCTCCTTCGGGACTTAGGATTCACGAAGCACCGTTCGCTTCTAATCGTTCGCCTTAGTATACGTAACTCCAAGTTTACGATATTTATCGCTGAATATTCTATCGAAATATCGAGAAAAGCTTTGGATAAGGAATAAAATTTAAAGAGTTTTTAAAGATATCCAATAAGGTATCATCAATTTTAATACCGAATGAAATATGCTTAATCTAAAGACAATAAAAAACTTATATACATTTCTTATTGAAATGCAAATTATAATTAGGAAGTAGGATGGAATTATCGTGATAAATAAAAGTACAGCAGATCCGTATATTTCTTATTGATAGAAACTGATCTTTAATTTATTTAACATCCCATATTTTTAGCCTTTTTATTATTTATTAAAGTCGAACAGGATTCCCTGACTTATATAATTATATTAGATAAAGACTAATAATTGGAAATGATTGATTTTTAAAATTGTTATTTCGATAGACTCGACAGGTCGGGCTGAGTTTGCAAAAGCACGAATCATGTTTTTTACGCGTGTGCTCGTTCCGTCAACATTGCGTTAAAACAACCTATGTCTTGTACTTCACACATTCCGAAAATTTTATTTTTTACACAATTACCGTTAAATAGAGAAGACGGACGCCGTGGATAAATTCGACGAGTGTAGATTCGGCATAATATACTCCGCATAGAATTTTGAGGAGCGAACAATGTACACGGGAGATACGACTCTTATGTGTCATTAACATTTAAGAACCCGTTTCTCAATATGAGAAAGCTGGCGTTAACTTTAAGTGTTATGATCTCACTCTAGCATTAGACGGCATTTATATCCCACCGCGTGATGATGTTAACGCCTGTAGTCATCTTTGCGTGTACCCATTAATCTTTTAGAGCACACACTGACAATTTCCCCTTTTTTTTAAAGCTAAAGATAATTAATATTATATCTACTGGAGTATTTAATGCTACATAAAAAAAAATAGATTACATTTACAATTTAAATAAAGCAAAGACGAGACAGCTGTCAAAGTTGGAGACAAGATGATTCCTTTGTGTCACGGACTTTCATTAGTACATCCATCATCCTGGCGGCACACAGTAACCGCAGGTGAATGGAACCGGAAGATACGTTTCCTTAAATAACTAAAAATTTGCGCTTTAGATAATAACATCACTTGGAGCAGTTATAGTAGTGAACTATATCAATTAGATATACATATTAAACTTATAATATTCCTCACTGCCAAGAAAAATAAAACGGAACAGGTTGAAATCGTTCAGTAAATCAGTGAGTCAATAGGCGAGTTTTTGATTTAAAGCTCCCATTCACCTGTCGCGATATTACGTATGTCGCATCCTAAGAATATTATCAGCCTTCCATCGAGCTTTATCAGCCCACTCTTCGTTGGGTTTTTTTTCCGCGTATCATGTAAGCCACATCTGTTACATGATATAATCGGCAAACAACTGTCTCAGAATTGAATCCACGTATCACACAGAGCATATTCTGCCTTGAGAAGTTTTCCTCAATCGGGTTACCTGGCCATGAATCTGCTCGGTCTTTACGTACGGAAATGTCGCAAGATTTTGCACTTTTTCTTTTGTCCGGCATTATATTTTTTTCTCATTTTTTACAGAGCTCGCTCTCTTAACGAGAAGTATAAAAAACTATGTACATTTTCTTGCGTTCTTACATATCAACTGAGTACAAATAACGAGTTGCCTCCTTCCATTTATTTTAACTGCCTTTTTTACTGCAGAATTTTACTGTAGGTGGACGGGATAAGAAATCTCGTACTTTCACCATGCAAATGATAACATAATTCGCATAAGCAATCGATAATTTCCCTTTTAACAAATTAAATTATATTGTCGTTATGTTCAATGATTATTTAACTATGATAATCAATCAAGTATACATCTTGTATATGGACGCAAAAAATAATTATCTTTCTTTGTAGCATTCACTTAACTAGCACTAACATCTCGCTTTGTACATTTACTTTGTACATTTCTACTTGTCTTGATTCTTTTCTTATCTCTGTATTGAACGAGTTGAGACTTCTTATGTCACAAGAACAATACCAAACTTTCCTTTTATTGCATAAGCAGCCAGTGCAATTAGTAGCTGAAGAACAAACCCGTCCACCGTTCTTTAAGTGTGGCTGCGGCAATAAAGTAATCAGATGCACTTTGAGGATCATACCAAGAGATTTAAATTAATGAACGAAACGCGACAGCCCATGCTGCTTTCTTCTTTCGTATAACTGTCAAAGTATGTAACCAGAACTAACTTAGCTCAATAACATATTTTACATTTTGGATATTTCATTAGACTTATAAATGACTCATAATGTACGTCATGTCTTTTTTAAACGTCCGACGATCCATTCCAGTCCCTGATATAATCTGAAACATTTTTTATTATCGTTTACTTTTAGATCTTATACCTCTATCCTCCTAGAAATAAGTTCATGATTACGTTATGTTCTTACCCTTCTCCAGTGAGAGCGCAACAGCTCTGTATATGCCATTGGTGTTTTTTGATAGATGTCAGATCCAATTGTCTTGAAATCTCAGCTGCGGTCATGCTGCCCTTCAAGTCTTGTTTGTTGGCGTAGACCAGAACGTTGGCTTTACTCAACTCCTCGTGGTTCAGCATCGAATAGAGCTCTTCCCTAATCATACCGAGCCTCTCTCGGTCAGTGCTGTCTATGACCATAATGATAAATTCAGTATTCGTGTAGTAAGTAGACCAGGCAGCTCTCAGACTCTGCTGACCACCCAAATCCCACATGATAAAATGAATATTCTTCCACACAACTTCCTCTACGTTGGATCCGATGGTCGGAGACGTATGGACAACCTCGTTCATCAGGAATTGATATAATATTGTTGTCTTTCCAGCATTGTCCAAACCAACCATAACTATTTTATGCTCTGAAAACAAATTTTTATTATAAGGTCTATTTTTTTTATAGCTAAACTAAACCATATGAAATAGATAAACATTTGAAGTTAGTGAAAGCAAGATAGAAAGTTTTAGCACTATTCAATGCAATGACAAAGAATGAATGTCTAATTTTAATTTATATCCTTCTAGATGTAAAGGATAATGTGATGAAAGTGGATCAAATTAAAATTAAGTTGCAAGTCGAGGATTTAAATTCAGGGGTCAAGTCTTCAGATACAGAATGTGGTTTTTGTTCATTTTTAACAATGTAGATTAATTTTAATCTCAGTATAATTTATTCTTTATCCTTCTCTGATTTTTAGAACTAGAAAAAAAAATAAGAAAAAGTAAGCTAAACCAATTAAAGCCACGTACTTCTAATCTTAATCCGTAGTGATAGTAATAGGTATTAGTAGCATATGTTAACAGATTAGAGAAAGTAGGCCAATGTTACAAGCATAGAATTTCCAGCAAGAATATCATCTGATTCATCAAGTCACACAGCTCTGTATCAGATTCTTGATAAAATTGGCGACTCCAAGAAAAACCGCTTAAAACAATACTCGCGTAAATTTCGCGAGCGTCTTATTGTAGATCCAAAGTACTTCCTGATACGAATGAACCTTTCAATTAAATTGACAGATCGCTGTGATCGGCAATCGGTCGATCACCTAGCACGTGTTACTACAAACATATACAATGATAATGTACAAAGGGAGCGGAGGGACGGGAAGAGCTGTGACTCATGGGCTTATCATAGTATTTACCTTCGTTGCCGAAGAAGCTCCACAACTTCGCGAACAGCAGTCCCATGTTGACTATTCAGCCAGGGATTAATCGAATATAATCTGCTCGACGTCACAAACTCAGTCTCCTTAGGAGATTGATTTGGGAACAGGGCGGTTCATTGTCTCTCGGAGGGGTTATGTTCGCTTCCGCGATGACGAAATGTCGTTTACGTGCGACGTCGGCTCATGGACCGACGTCATAATCGCGCCGGGACGTCGACGCGGACGCTGGCAATGTGCAAATGCGATCGAAATAACGATTGGAGCTGCGACGCGCGAGGAACAGGCGAGAAATCGACGGAGTACGCGAACAGCCTGTCTAGCTGTCTAGTTCAGTTCGGCAAAGCGCGACATGTTGCTTCTCTGTACGACAAGTGTCCGCACGCCCCGAGCGGGGCGCTGCTGCGCTCGGCAAATCTCGGCAACATTCGGCAATGTTCGGATCGAAGCGCTTAGTTCAGCCGGTATCTCATTGGTGTCAGGAATGGCTGCGTTCAGCAGAGAAAGCAGCTTTGCAACTGTTGTAAAATTCTTCAGTATATCGATACATATTCATGAAAATGATGTTGGTGCCACTGGTGGCGCTGCGATCGATTTAGGATTTCTTCAATTAAATTTCGATTTTCGACTGTAATTGACAAACTTTATCTGTGATATTTTATTAGCATAGATAATATATAGAACTTATTGAATTAATTGGAGTTTAATTAAGATCGTCCCCACTCTGAAGTTTGCTGCTTTCTTTAATTAAATAGACGACTCCGATTAAATTCCGATTTAATTATTCAAAACTTAGGCGGGGTGTCCTTTTAATAGATCGACGAAAGCAGCAAACTTCAGAGTGACGAGAACCTCGACTAAATTTCGATTAACTAATTATAAGTTGGAATTTAAACCATTTCAAGGATCGTCTCTGTTCTAAAGTTCTGCTGTTTATGTTGATTTGTGTCGCGACTTTTTTTGAATGGCTAATTATGTATATATACATATGTATATTTATTATATTTTAAGTACAGAAAGTATAGCTGCAAAGAGTAGAGTAGTTGTATTTCTCTTCCAACATGACACAATTTATTCATTCTATTATATTTCTCTCATAACTTTGACAATTTTTCAAGGAACACTTAAACCGATTTTCATCGCTTCTAAAATATTTTAAATGAGACTGGTATTTTCGATGAGAATATAACTTGTTATTGCAGCTTTTTTCGAACGTTGCTGTAAAGAAATATTGCCTCGTCAGCTATTCGAAAATTATTTCCCCCAGAAATACAAGTAAATTCGAAGAAGCCGGCAATATTATTGTGGAAAATTATTTTCTATAATTGTGCTTTAACGTCGTTTAATTAAAGGTATTTATGTCATCTTTCTGATTCGGACAAATTAATATTGTAAGTAATATTCGGTATTGTGGCCACGAAGCCGCAGATTAGATAAGTTGTGTCGTGGCGGCATGCGTGTTAAACGCTGCATCATCATTATCACAAATTCTTCTCGCACGGGCGACGTGGTCTCGAGCACCGTGATTGGCTCACAGTTCGTCGGCTGACGCTGCGGAGCATGCTGTTTGATCATACGTCCTTCGACGAGCTGAAAAGCGACCACTTGTTGCTCCTGCGGTGTTTGCTACAGCAATCTCACGCCGTACATTCAGCTAGATTCTATTACATTCATCACTGATCACGTCTACGAGCCGTCTACAAATATGAGTACTCAGTGAGTATTCTTCCGTTACGTCTGCATTTCATTCGAAATAACGCAGGATGCTTTCTATTCAATAATAGGTGCTTTCCAGCAAGGACATAGTCAGACACTTGTTGTTTAACGTTGGCAAATAACAAGGATGAAACGACTCACTGTGTTACACAGTGTCTGACTATGTCCTTGTTGGAAAGCACCCAATATAAATCAACACAAATATCGTTCTGTCTTTGTTACTCATTAAATCTGGAATGATGTTTGTGTTGATTGTGTCATTAAGGGAGAGATTCTTATATGTAAGACTGTCTTAAATTTATTCTTACGATCTCATGCCACGTCTTAAGGGGCCCATTCTGTAATTCTTAACGATTGTAAGGATATTACATTGTCATTGAGCAGGTTTTTTTGTATATAGTAAAAAAGCTGCGCAACGACAATATAATGGTATCGCAACGACAATATAATGGTATCGTTACAGTCGTTAAGAGTTACAGATTAGGCCCCTATTATATAAGACATTTAAGACGGTTTTAAACATAAAAACCAACCATGAATATCGGCTTAAAATGGAAAATACAAGACGATAGAAGGCTTGGAACCAAATAATGGGTTTTTTTTATCTGAACTTCTTACAGGTTCATGTTTTCCTTTTTCCAATGGAAAAATGCAAGTTTAGTTAATATAAAAAAAACAGGTCTAATATTTTAATGTAAATTTTAACTACAGTTAAATAAACTGTGTGCTGATTGTTGGTTATTTATTTAGAATAGCGGAACGCCAGCAAAAATTGATCAAAATTTGTCATTTTATAAAAGAGCTGTATCAAATAACATAGATGTGATAGTACAGATGTAAGAAGAATAAAATCGAATTTCATTTTTTTTTAATGGATTTTACATGAATTTTCTATTTTCCAGGGTGGCAGATATCGCCCTCATTGGCTTAGCAGTCATGGGACAGAATCTAATTCTGAACATGAATGATCATGGCTTTGTTGTGTGTGCGTACAACCGTACAGTAGACAAAGTCAAGTCTTTCCTTGAGAATGAAGCCAAGGGCACAAAGGTTATCGGTGCTTACAGCTTGAAGGAGATGGTCAATACATTGAAGAGCCCAAGGAGAGTGATGTTGTTGGTTAAAGGTAAGTTTCTTTTGTTATCCCAATTAAAGATCTATAACTATAATTATAATAGTAATTGTAACTGCAATTATAATATAATACAAAAATTACAATTTGCTCTGATAATAGCTGGTTCAGCCGTGGATGCCTTTATTGAACAATTAGTGCCTCTTCTTTCTCCTGGCGATATTATCATTGATGGTGGCAATTCTGAATATCAAGATACCGATAGACGTACCAAAGATCTAGAGCAGAAGGGAATTCTGTTCGTTGGCAGCGGAGTCAGTGGAGGAGAGGATGGCGCCAGATATGGACCATCCTTGATGCCCGGAGGCAATCCCAAAGCTTGGCCGCATATCAAATCTATCTTCCAAGTATGGCCTATCATTATTTAATATAAAAATTTATAAAACTGCAAAATTGTTGATATCTTTTAGTTAACAAGTTACCAATAAGATCGAGTGAAAGTACAAAATTCTGCGCAGTAATTCGTGCTCTAAAAATTAGATTATACTTATTCCTTCTTACATTAATTAATAAGAATGTTCGAAATCTTTTAGTCAATATGCGCGAAGGTTAATGAAGAGCCGTGCTGCGATTGGGTAGGCGAGACTGGTGCGGGACATTTCGTCAAAATGGTGCACAACGGCATCGAGTACGGCGACATGCAGATCATCTGCGAGGCATACCACCTGATGCAAAGCGGTCTGCAGCTCACGCAGGAAGAGATGAGCACAGTATTCAACGAATGGAACAAGAGCGAGCTGGATTCGTTCCTAATCGAGATCACGCGGGACATCCTCAAATACAAGGACGAAAAGGGCTATTTGCTCGAGCGAATCAGAGACACTGCCGGCCAGAAAGGCACTGGCAAATGGACGGCAATCGCTGCATTAGACTACGGTGTGCCGGTCACGCTGATCGGCGAGTCTGTCTTCTCCAGGTGCCTGTCCGCGCTGAAGGATGAACGCGTAGAAGCGAGCGCAATGTTGTCTGGGCCGGATCCAGTATACAAAGGCGACAAAAAACAATTCCTCGAGCACTTAAGAAAGGCTCTATACGCCGCGAAAATTATCTCGTACGCGCAAGGCTTCATGCTGTTAAGAGAAGCCGCCAAAGTTCACAATTGGAACTTGAATTACGGTGGAATAGCATTGATGTGGCGCGGTGGATGTATCATAAGAAGGTAGGGTGGTCGAGAAATTTATGTCACTTTCGAATTTATCTAATTACATCAACGTTACAACAGTAATCCCTTTCATACGACCTACATTTTCTTTTAAAGCGAGTAGCAAAGAAATATCAGTGTCAAGGCTGTAGAATGTTTCTCAGGGGCATTGTATCTAGCGTCACATAAACTTATACACAAGATAGTCTCTCGTTTTTTTCAAATCCTGGTTTTAAATAAGTCTTATCTTATGTAAAACCGCGAGATGTAGAGAGAGAGGATGAGGATCAGGATTATTGCTCTTACATTTGAAGCTTCAAATAAAAGGATATAAATATATGTATTAACTTTATAATAAATATATAAATTCGGATGTAAGAAACGACATAGACAACATGCGTCTCAAAAATATCTCAAAAACGTTCTTTAGAGATGCATATTATTCAGGATATTCGTAAAATTGTGTGTAATTTTTTCTTACAGTGTATTCCTAGGAAACATAAAATCGGCGTACGACAAAAATCCGAAATTATCCAACTTATTACTGGACGACTTCTTCGCCAACGCTATGGATAAGTGCCATCAGAGTGCCAGAACAGTGGTAAGCACTGCCGTGACGATAGGTATACCGACTCCTGCTCTATCGACGGCTTTGGCCTTCTACGATGGATTTAGAACCGGTCGATTACCGGCGAATCTGCTGCAGGCGCAACGAGATTACTTCGGCGCTCACACGTACGAACTGCTCGGTCAGAAAGGGAAATTCGTTCATACGAACTGGACCGGACATGGCGGGAATGTATCTGCTTCTACGTACGATGCATAAATTCTCGCGTAGTTAACAACCGTGACTGATAATGTATAAACAAATACATAAAAATGCGACAATACAGTGCGCTAAATTACGCATAATTATGAATGGTTACAATAATTATATGAGTGATAACCGTTACCTTAGCTATGATAAAAAAACAACTCGACAACATGACAAAAAACAACGACACGAATGGTTCTATAACGGAAAGAAGTCATTTATAAATAACAAAATATTGTTAAATAATACGTTATATTTTCTGTTTTCAGATGTTTTCTCTCTTCTTTTTGATAAACATATTTTCATTAATATATTATTAAAATATAAAAAAATTACAGAGGCTTAAAAAGGTACATATATTTTTATAAATATTGTAATGGTAATGTATTTGAAAGGTTATTTAAAAGGAATATAAACATTTATGAATAAAAATAAATAATAAGACATCTTTTTTTTTTAGAAATTTCCTAGAATGCTTTTACGTCGTCAATTGATGTTTATTTCGTTTAGATTACGACTTTCGTTCGCGCGTCGCACTACGTTCCACGTAGGTTACATGTATATTTTAGGAAACAACGACTCAGAGAAGTAGGGAGAAATTACGTAATTCGCAAGAGACGTTGCTTGATTGTAAATGTCGAATGTCGACGAGTAGGCGACTCGTATCGCTCGGTAAGATTATGCATCGTATAATCAAGTAGTAAATAGCGATAATTGTGGACTCTGTTCCCTCTTCAGGCGATACGAGGTGATACTGTTGCAAATGCGGTTCTCAATCGTTCGACCGACGTGGGAATAACGGAGATGGAAAATCGCAAGAGAGCGGAGACGCGCGGGATCGAGCTAGTGAAACGCCGATTATGCAGCAACGAACTCGTCATTACCGCGCATTTCTCTTCCTCTTTAACGCGCGCACGCGAAAATATTGGAGCATGACACTTTCAATCGCACGCCGACGTTTTCCCCGTGGCTTGCGAAACGCGAAGCGCGAGCAGCGAGATGCAGCTTTGCGCAACCCGATTTTTCGCGCGCTCTCTGCCGTAACCCGTAACACGATTTCGAATGACGAGGAAATTGGTAACTCGGCTTCGAAACGCATCGTCCGTTAGTGCTATTTTTTACTGCGAAAATATTTAATCGTGCGATACACGCTGCTCGAATTGACCACAATTTAATGAATTATTGATTTATATTCTAAGTATATGCTAAACCTTTTTTTTTAATTCGATTTTGTTTTTTAATAAAGTCAGTTGACCTCGACGTTTCCTTCCTTTGATGCCATGCTTTTTTTTTCAGAGAATATTATTAACCATGTTTTTATTTACTGTCGAGGCTGCATACGTGTTATATTTCCGTATGCGTGATGTGCTTCGATATAATTATATATGTATATATATATATATACAGGATGTCTAAAAACCGCATTTCCTCTTAAGAACGTATTCTTGAGGTAATTTTGAGACGAAAATCTTAATACAAAAATATCGAGGCTACAATAATTTTTAAATTATAATTGGTTAAAGATAGTATGTAATTCGAAAACTATTAGTCTTAATATTTTCGTCTTAGAATATTCAAAAGAATCCAGAAATAATAATAGAGATTATAAAAGTAAAATGGTTTTTGACTTTTAAGTATTTAAAGTTAGCTTATAATTAAAAAAAATGTTGTAGTCCCGACATTTTCGTATTAAGATTTTCGTTTCAAAATTACCTCAAAAATATGTCCTTAAGAGGAAATGCAGTAGTTGTGAGACACCCTGTATATACACGTTAATTACATTTATTCATATTGAAATCCAAATAAAGTAACTTATACACGATTATAGGAAAAATATCAATGTAATGCTATAAATGCTTTGCATTCTTTGATTGGGTCAATTTATAAAATTAATTTTTTCGGATTGATCAATCAAAATTTCAAAGCATTATTTATAATGAGACTTGACCACATCCTATACCTCATTCTCTATACTAAAACTTTTATTGCTTTTATTTATATTTCAATTACGCAAGCATGTAGCACGACAGTGTCAAAAATTAGAACTTGTTAAATTCCAAAAATACAAGGAACGACGGTGGAAATAGTTCATTCGCTATTCGCTGCATAATTCCGCAGGGGAAGAGGTCTCCTCCATGCAATTATAATTCAACCGTTGCGTATCCCGTTTTGCGACTAGTCGGCAATTAAAATTAGCGATCAAATGCGAATCAATGCTCTCTCGTGTGTCCTGATCTTTAGAGAGCGTGGTTTTTTTTCTGCGATAATATCACACGAGACAAACAATATTCCGAATTGCCAGACTATGTTTAAATGTCAGATGTGAACGCGCAAGTCTAAGCCGGCTGAACTTTCCTATGGTTCTCCCCTCTTTTTCTCTTTCTCTTTTTCTTCTACTCCTCGAGTACATATTTGTTACTGGGACTCACTGGGAGTCTTCTGACATGCAGCTCAAAAAGAATATTTTTCTTTTGTTTCTCTTTCTTTTTAGGCCTATTCTTTTCCTATACCCCAGGATCGAACTCCTTGCACAATTCATCTTTTGTCTTTTTTTCTCCATTGTGAATAGAAAAAGAAGGGAGATGAATCGTGCAAGAAATTCAATCCTGGGGTATGGGAAAAGAACAGGCCTTTTATTATAGAGTCCGGTGAACTCTATACATGCTGAAGTGAACGTTAGACCTCGTTTTATTATAGTATATTGAAACGAGACGTCCGTCCCGCTTCAATATACTATAATAAAACGAAGTCTAATGTCTCTTTTTAAATGTAAATTAATTTTAATTTATCGGTTTAATTTATTTTTTATCCTTTTTAATTCTTAAAAGTATAGAAAAAGATGAAGAGTCACTTGAATCGAGATTAAAATTAAACTGCATTGGTAGAAACGGGCATGAGTCGCATAAATTCTTGCATGGTTCATCTTTTCTCTTTTTTCAATAGCAATGTCCGCGATTCTTGCATATGAAACCTTGTTGAAAGATCAATGAAATGTTACAGAAAGAATCTGCAATCTTTTTAAAATATTACCAAAAAGTTTTCAGCTACTTTTAGTACTTCAAAAATCATATTTAAATATATACTTGATTGATACTTAAATAATATTTAAATTTATTACGTCGACATCAATTAAACATATAATATTTAATATTATTTCTGAAGTTCTTAAAATTTATTAAAAGTTTTGTAATCTATTTACAGATTATACAAACTTGTTGAAATAAACTTAAAGTATTTCTCAAAAAATAGTAATTATATCGCCAACTATTTTGATTAATTAATCACTTTATATGTATAAGTACATATATACATAATCACTATTAGAAAAATAGAAAGTCACTTACACCTGCAGTTTCCACACAATATCATTATTCATATACAAAAGTTTTTCGTAATTAAAGCAGAACAAGTCATTCGTTACAAAAGTTTTTCGCAATTAAAGTAGAACAACTCACGATAACATCAAAATGACATTAAACTGAATCGCGATTGATCAAAAAATGACTTTTAGTAAACATTTTGGAACCATTTTAACATCATGATGATTTTTTCTTCTGTTTAAATATGTTTTTCAATCTATTGTATATAATAGATTTTAGAAACATTTCTATTAAAACATTTCATATGATATATTGCAGAATCCTTTCAGAATTGTTGCACATGAGATGTGAAAGGTTTGAAACATTTCTGAAAATTTTCCACAGCAATCAATGCTGTATGGATGAAGAACTAAAATTAAATTTGCAGTTTTACGGCGAACTCCATGGCGATCTCTCGATCATATTCTACATTATTCTCAAGCACTCATCATTACAGTCATTACAATCATTGCCTTCGGAATCTTCTTACATTCCTTATAAGTATTCTTTAATTTATATCAGCTCCAGAGATAGATAAAAATATCAGATTTTATTTTTCACAGATGAGCGAGAATGACATTATAAATATTTGATCGATCTCGTTCAAAGGATATACCAGTCGCGAGGATTGGTCTGCGGGGCAAGGAGGCGGAGGGAGGGAGGCATCCACCGTCGGCGGACCATCATCGCGCGTCACGGCGTCGGCTCATAACGTGGACGGAGAGCCGGGAGTGCCGGGACAGCGGTGCGGTATTACCGCATTTGCCGCTGTTTGCCGCGGTAGATAGTCCGCGCTCGCGGTAGCGCTCGCGTTCACGTTTGGAAAATGGCCGACCACAGAGACCGAGACTATTACACGCAGACGGATCTGCGTTCCAAGAACGACGATCCGCCGAACTCGCGCCTCTTCGTCATCTGTCACAAGAGTCTCGAGGAGGACGATCTCAGGAAAGCGTTCGAGAAGTTCGGCAAGATCGAGGATATCTGGGTGGTTAAGGATCGAATCACGGGCGACAATAAAGGTAATCCCGCACAGCGTGTTTTAGATAAAAGCTAAAATCAATAAACTCCGATCTGCTCGTTGAAAAAAAAGTAATTGCGCTTTCCTCTCTCTTTTAACGCGCGGCTTCTCTATTTCCGTCCTGGGAAAGATATCTTCGCGTTTCTCTTTTTGTGTACGCCAGTGTGTCCCTAATAATCTACTATCGTCGCTGTTTGCCCCTCAGGTGTCACATACATCAAGTTCTCTAAAACATCAGAGGCGGCGTTTGCTCTGGAGGAGATGAATGGCAAGATGCTGGGCTCTGTGGGCAGAGCTATCAAAGTGATGATCGCCTCAAAGTAAGTCCTCCTCTGTATCATTCTCTTCATTTAATATTTATAATTCTAAGATTTATAATTGTTGGGTTTGACTTGACGTATATCAATGTCCATATCTAGAGATCCTATAACAGAATCTGGCCACAAACAGTTTTATCAAATGTATTGTTTCTCTTTATATATGTTATCTCGTTCTAACTTATGCTATCTATCTTATTCGTTCTAACTTATTCCCATTTCTCTCAAGTAGATTAACTTTAATCTCGGTTTTATTTGTACTTTTTATTTTTTTTAATTCTTAGAATTAGATGAAGAGTTAGTTGAACAGAGATTAAAATTAAATGACATTGGTAGAAACTGGTATTATTGAAATTGAAAATAATGGGCCAATCAAAAGTTTATCATCTCATATTATAGGATCCTCTATCCATGCTTACGGCTTTTCTTTTTCTTAACCCTTAGTATACATGATTGGGTCATTCGTGTCTTGCATATTTCTTTTCTTTGAAACTGGAGCACTAAATAATGGTCTCTATTCTTTCATTTTTTTTTAATACACAACTTTATACTTGCTAAAGATGTTACAGTATATGTATATAAAGTATAAAATTCACTTATATTTATTTCTACCATTATAGTTTGATTTTAATCTCAGTCCAACTAATTCTTCTCCTTTGTTTAGTTAGAAGAATTAGAAGTAAGTTGAACCGAGATTAAAGCTAATCTATATTGGTAGAAACGGATGTTAATAATTTTTGTATGCTTGTAAAAATTAATCCAAGACGTGAATAACTTAGACAGTAAAGAACCAGAAAATTATGATGTGTATTAAAAATTATTGAAAGTAGAAAAAAGAAAGCAACAGATGTGAATGCCGACACACGTCAAGTTAATATCTAGACTGCTCTATAGTCTAGATATGTAGATTTAAACCGGCTTAATCGATCCATTTTATGTACATCTAGTTCTAATCAGCATTTCGTTTTCAACTGATTGTTCTCAGTCGGGATCAGGGTTCTGTGCGGGAGACGAATGAAGAGGAGAGGTGGGTTCGCTTATTCTGTGTATTACCGAAAACAATGACTGACAGTGAGCTGCAACAGGAATTCTCCAAGTTCGGTGCGATCGAATACGCGACTGTTGTGAAGGATCGCAGTACGAACGAATCCAAGGGCTTCGGCTATGTCAAGTTCAAGAAGGTGTCTAGCGCGGCGCGGGCGTTCGAGGAGTGTGACAGAAAGTACAAAGCGGTGTTCGCCGAGCCGAAGAAGCCGAAACCCGATCACAACGAGGCCAAGTACAATAATGGACTGTCTAGTTCCGCGTACGATGGTAGTAGCAGTAGTAGTTACGCCTCCTCAAACTTTGGCAAGAGCAGTATCAGCCTGGAGATTGCTACTAACTATGCCAATTCGGAAGGCTACACGCGTCTGCAGGTGATCGCACATCCAGCCCTGAATCAGGACCAACTGTGGAAGCTGTTTGACATCGTGCCAGGGATGGATTACTGTCACTTGAAGACCGACGTGAGATACAGGATGCCACGCGGTCAAGCGGTGGTGGTATACAATAATCCGAGCGCGGCAGCATACGCGCGTGAGAAATTCCACGGTTTCGAGTATCCACCTGGTCATCGAATGATCGTCAAGCCGGACTTGACTAGCGTGCCGCCGAAGGGCGCGTCGAAACCTGGCGGTTCAACAGCCGGCAGCGTCGCTAGTGCAAGGACGGATCTAGTACATTTGGCGGAAACCATTGCTCAAGCTACATCACTCATTCAAGCTGCAGGTCTGACGGCACCGAGTAAGTAAATCCGACCATCTCGTCAGCGCGCTCGGTGCGCCGAGGAAATAATACGTTGTACATCAAGTATCGTTGTGTTTCTCATTTTAGGCTTAGACCACATATCCGTAAAGTTACCTCCGGTACAACCGATGGCGAGTATAGACGCTGAAGTTGCCAAGAGATGTTTCATCGTATGTGGCCCACCGGTGCCGCCTATTTACGCTATGAAGGATGCATTTTGTAGGTTTGGGAATCTTATAGATGTATATATGTTACCCGGCAAGAATTGTGGATACGCGAAATACGCCAGCATTAGCAGCGCGAATGAGGCCATTGAGGTACGGCACCTTTCCTTTTTCTCTCTCTTCTTTTAATCTTTACTGCGTAAATATTTCGAGCCATTCATATTCAAAACACGTAGATGCTTCTACATTCAAATATGCTTTTAGGTCCTGCATGGTCAAGAGATCTGTGGTTCCCGGCTGAAGGTACTCGAGGCAGAGGAACGAAACGTCGGCGAGGATCGGCGGAAACGACTACGAATGGATGAGGACGAGAATTGAACGTGTTCTAATAAAAATGCGTATCTCGTAAGTAGTAGACGAGAGTAGCGTAGTGTGGCGCGAAGGAAAAGAGAGGCATTTCTATGTAATAGCTGTAGTACACCCCGAGACGTTGTTTTACCGACGCTATCACTCTTTCTCTCTATCTCTTTCTCTTTATCTACCTCCTCCTCCTCTTCTTCCTCCTCGGGCAGGGGGAGAAAAACTGCAGGAGAAAATGTAATTTTTGCTGTTTGTCTTCACAGACTGACTGGTATACACAAGCCGGACGCACGCAACAAAAAGAGACGAATTTAAAGACTACTACTCACTTGACCACATCAAGGGCCTGCATCCAGGGAAAACTACTCCAACTACCTACCTATATATATTTAACTATTCGCTTACGTTCGCGCAGCTGCAACTCTCTACGTTACTGAAACCTTTAACTGCTACTCTACTACTATTACTTTTTATCCTCTTACATGTCCGTTTCACACACGATACGTTTGCGCGCGCGGACGACCCGATTTTCTGTTACTTTAAGAGGCCTGTGCGAACGGCCGATGTCGTTGAGTGCCTATTCTCTGTGTATGCCTATTACCCGTATGAAAAGCGCTCTTTCCACATCTGAAATTGTGGAAATGTACTTTCTTCCTTCAGACATTGCGAGGCTTGGAGGAGGCAAAGCACGCGTACATTGACGAGGTACATAGGACTGATTTGTCTCCCAGATTGTTTCTCGCATATATATATTTTTTTTTATCCTAATCTTTTAATCTTTAGCTTTGCACTTCTTCGAAATGATTAATATTAATATATTTTCGACACTTAAAGGGTGCGTTCGAAGTATTAACACGAAACATCTTAAACGTTTTAAATCCAACATTGATGATTGTGAGAAATCCACGAGGACAATCATGGCTCTGATTATCTGCGCGTTCGCATAGGCTTTTAGGTGTAACTTATGCCTTAGGTTTAACAAAGAGACCTTTAATTTATGATTAAATTTCTGTACTTTTCTTTTATAGTTATATTGCGTGCAGAAAAGAAGCAATAATTTGTACTTTATACGTTATTGACAACTTTTACAATAAGTTAAAATTATTGCGGACAAAAGTAATTCCAAAACAAGATTATTTAGACGTCAATACAAATTTTATTTTATGCTGTGATAGTAAGATAAATTGTTATTTGATAAAATCATTGGATCTCATATATCATATAATTTTGTCATACCGTTTGACTTATGTTTGTATAAAATATTTTAACTTATTGAGATGCTTCGTAAAAAATTGTAAGACATTAATTAAATCGCGCCTTTTACGCGCACACATTACCAGTTAAAATTTTTAATTAATAAAAATTTAATCTGTAATTTTTGCGTTTTAAAAAGGTTTCGTACATGAAATCCTTTTATTAAAAACGAACAGTTCATGAAAAAAAAAAAAATTGAGAAGATTTCGATATTTTTTGAGTTTTAATAATAAAATTTTTATAAAAAAAAAAGGATCTGTATATTAATGTAAGATATGCAATACTCAATATTATACATATTAATGTTAATTTCCAATTGGTATTGGGTAAAATCTTGTTTTGGAAGCAATTGATGTAGGAACAAAATGTAGGAGTAAAATGTACTGGCATGTAGACTATTTTTCGTTTCAAAGCATGATAGAAGAAAGAAGCGTAAATTTGTTGCTTACGGTAAAAGAAAAAAAAGAAGAGACAATTTTCTGGCAAAACCGATTACCCGATATCCATCATTACGAAATCAAATTACCTCGTTACACGTGATCGACGCACAACATTGAACGTTTTATGCTGGACACACATTTTTGTACCACCGTGCGTTAGACTCTCACTGTATTGACCGGCTGGTGTCCCAGAGGACTGTAACTGACTTGTTTTCTTTGGTGATATCAAATACACATGAAATACGCAATAAACCCCAAAAAACACCGACTCTTTCACTCGATTTTTTTTTTCTTTATCATTTCCTCGAGAATGAAGTATTGTATTTTATCTAATTGTGTACTGTCTCTAATATTGTATTAATTGAATTGATGTTCCCTGATAATCTGATATGTGTTTTTCTCATTTTCAGGATACTGCAAGGATTCCACGAAGCACTGTACCTGAAGACTGTGATATTTTTAGCAGCGTAAGATTATGATATTTCTATGAAATTGTGTATATGGGAAGAAAAATTTTACAGAATATATTAAATTATTATATTTTGGGCACAGTTATTGATTATATTCACTTGCATATGAATTTATTTATTTTTCAAGACAAACTCTTGCTTGAATATATGTATATGTATGTATACATATATACACACACATACATACATATATATATATATATAGCCTCCATTAGATAAAGATAAGTAATGGCAGGCTTTTTATCGCTTTTCTATTTTTAAAATTCTCGTTATTTTTAGGAATTTACTTTTGCTGGTGAAAAAATAGTATAATTCCAGACGTAAATGTTACAAAAATTCAGAGTTGAGTAATAACTAGTTAAAACGTTGAAAGTTAAAAAGTTAATGACTTTTAACTTAATTTAGTTAATTTTGAATACATTAATTTTTAACTTAATTTAGTTACTTTTAAACTCTCTTTAATTTATTAACATTTTAAATTAAAAATTTTTTTTATATTTTTCTCTTAATGCTAATATTTTTTTTTAACTATTCGTTACATTTTGAGTGCCGGTAACGGTAATGAGTTATTTTTAAAATGTAACGAATCGTTACATTTTGAGTGCCGATAACGATAACGAGTTATTTTTATAAGGTGACGTTGCCAATCCTGTC